TGTCGGACCTGTTAAGTTTTTCCAGTAATTTGTGTTTTTCTTCCATATAGACCACTGTATTGCTCTGCATTCATCAATCTTTTTTGTCACCTCTTCAAAAAACTCAATCAAGTTAGTGAGACACAATTTCCCACCCATTAAGCCATGTAGGTTATCCCTGATTTGTCCTTGCCTTTCGATGTAATCCATGTCCTTCAGAATCCTCTCCAACAACTTACTCACTACTGACGTAAGGCTCCCCAGTCTATAGTTCCCTGGCTTTTCCTTACAGCCTCTGTAACATAATGGCACCGCATTAGCCATCCTCCAATCTTCCAGCACCTCACCTATAGCTGCCAATGATACAAATATCTCAGCAGGGGGCCCAGAAATCTCTTCCCTTGCTTCCCATGAAGTTCTGAGAAACACCTGATCAGGTCCTGGGAATTTATCTACCTTTTTGTGTTTGAAGACCTCCAACACCTCCTTCTGTAATATGGATACTTTTTAAGACATCAGTATTTATTTCACCAAGTTCCCTAGCTTCCAGTCCTTCTGCACGGTAAATACTGACACAAAATATTTGTTTAGTATCTCACCCATCTTCTACGTTTCCACACAGAGACGGCCATGTTGATCTCCCTAGTTACTCTTTTGCCCTTAATGTATTTATAGAAACTCTTTGAATTTTCATTAACCCTATTTGCCAAAACTGTCCCATGTCCCCTTTTTGTCGTCCTGATTTCCCTCTTAAGTATACTCTTACTGCCTTTGTACTTCTCTAGAAATTCACTCGATCCCAGCTGTCGATACCTGACATATGCCTTCTCATTTTTCTTGACCAGAGCCTCAGTTTTTCTAGTCATCCAACGTTCCCTACACTTACCAACCTCTCCCTAGGATTCTAATCTTCTGCTTTTGTTTTCAATTTTTGCATATATTTGTTAGGGATTTTACAAGGTTAAGAGTTCCTGCCTCAGAATGAAGCAGCATTGAAAATACAGTTAGTAATGTTGAAACAGTGCTGAGGAGAGAATCCAAGTCTGTGACTCAGATTGGGGATGTAAAGGAAGAAAGTTTGAGAATGATACTTACGGAACAGGAAAGGCAAAAGTCCAGGGAACTATATTTGTATTGGAGGGAAGAGTGAAGGTTCTCAGTGGTATTTGTTAAGAGGACAGGGAAAGGTGACAAATACATAGTTAAGGTGGAATGAGGGAAGGATAAGCACAACCTTCGTAAGAAGAGGTTCCTGGTGGAAGGTGGACGAGAAAGTGTGACATTGCTGGATGAGACAGGTAAGTTCACGAGCAGTATTTGTGGAATAGAGGACAGGGAGCAGGGTATTTGGAAAATGGAAGAAAGCCCAAATAAGGCAGTTGGAACTTTGGAAATGAAGATTGTTTGGATGCAGATTAAGAGCTCAAGGGTCAACGATTACACAGGGATTGCAGAGGATAGTGGAACCCCACTTTTGCCCTGGATACTAAAAAGAGACAAGCTGTGGTGTTGCTATTAAATTTGTGATAAGTCTGACATTAGTGTTGGGTAAGTTGTTGGAGGGGATTCTGAGGACAGGATTCACAAGTATTTGGACAGGCAAGGACTGACTAGGGATAGTCAACATGGTTTTGTGCATGGGAAATTGTGTCTCACTAACTTGATTGAGTTTTTTGAAGAAGTTACGAAGAAGATTAATGAAGGCAGAGCGGTGGACATGTTCTATACGGACTTCAGTAAGGCATTCGTCAAGGTTCCACATAGAAGATTGGTTAGCAAGGTTGAATCACATGGAATACAGGGGGAAATAGCCATTTGGATTCAAAATTGTCTCTAAGGTAGGATACAGAGGGTAGCGGGGGAGGGTTGCTTTTCCGGCTGGAGACTTGTGACCAGCAGTGTGCGGCAAGGATCAGTGCTGGGTCCACTGCTTTTTATCATTTATATAAATGATTTAGATATGAATATAGGAAGTACAGTTGGTAAGTTTGCAGGTGACACTAAAATTGGTGATGTAATGGACAATGAAGGAGTTTACCTCAGAGTACAATGGGACCTTGACTAGATGGGCAAATGGGTCAAGGGGCAGAGGAGTTTAATTTAGATAAGGGTGAGGTGCTGCATTTTGGTAGGGTGAATCAGGTCAGGACTTAACACTTAATGGTAAGCTCCTGGGAAGTATTGCCAAGTAAGAAGACTTTGGGGTGCAGGTTCAAAGTTCTTGGAAAATGGAGTTGCAGCCAGACAGGGTAGTGAAGAAGGCATTTGGCATGCTTGCCTTCATTGGTCGGTGCAATGAGCATAGGGGTTAGGAGGTCATGCTGTACAAGACATTGGTTAGGCCACTTTTGAAATACTGCATTCAATTCTGGTTTCCCTGTTGCATGAAAGATGTTGTGAAATTTGAAAGGGTTCAGAAAGGATTTACAAGGATGTTGCCAGGGTTGGAGCGTTTGAGCTACAAAGAGAGGCTGAATAGGCTGGGGTTATTTTCCCTGGAGAGTCAGAGGCTGAGGGGCATAGATACAGTAAATAGATAAAGTTTTTTTTCCAAGGGTGGGGTAGTCCAAAACTAGAAGCAATAAGTTTAAGGTGAGAGGGCAAAGATTTAAAAGGGACTTAATGGGCAACTTCTTCACGCAGAAGTTGGTGCTTGTATGGAATGAACTGTCAGAGGAAGTGGTGGAGGTTGGTACAATTACAATATCTAAAAGGCATCTGGATGGGTACATGAATATGAAGGGTTTAAACGGATTATGGGCCAAATGCTGGCAAATGGGACTAGATTAATTTAGAATATCTGGTCGGCATGGATATGTTGGACCGAAGGGTCTGTTTCCGTGCTGTATATCTCTATGACTCTATGTTCTTTACATTTTTGTCAATAAATATTGCAGAGAGCTGTGGTCAAACTCTTATTGAGTTGCTTCAGTGAACCTCCCAATTGTAATGAAGATGTTATATCTTGGTCCATTAACAGGCCATAAATTAAGCAGACTGTTTGGGTCAGATGGTGTTGATCTTCTTGTGTTGCCACAAATTCATTAATCCTGGCAAGTATTGAGCATTCCATTACAGTCCTCACTTGATATTTAGCTACAAAACATGCCTAAAGTACATTGGTGATGCAGTGGATGGTCTAGTTAAGTTTCAGGTCAGCAGTGACCTCCAAGTTTCTGATGGTAGGGAATTTCATCAAGCTGATACCATTGAAGATTGGTGGGGGCGGGAATTGTTAAGTTTTCCCTTGTTTCAAATCATCAGTGATGGCATGTATGCTACTTACAGTCTGTCACTTTAACTCAATGTTGTAGATTCACATAGGTTAGTTAATTACCTAAGGGATTGTTAATGGAATCATGAATGAGTTGCCATACTCCTGACTTTATGAAAGAGACAGTCATTTTCAAAAAATAGCAGATGATGGTTGTACTGAGTACTTATCATTGACATGTTCTTGTTGCAATATTTGAGCTCCAATTATTGACCTCTGCCAATGGAAGCTGTCTTCTATTTTTTTCACCTATTATTACTCCCACCATTGAAGGATTTCCCCTTTTGTTTCACTGCACCCAGCATTGTTGAAACTCCTTGATACAGAGTTCATGGATGTTGTCTTGATGTTAAAGGCAGTCGCTTTTCATTTCTCATCTGGCCTTTGACTGGGGAAGATACATCTCTGTAATCTTTGACTGCTTGTTGGGTAGAGTAGATTTTGTGATCAAGTGATTTTTAAAGGGAACAGCTGTGAATTTGTGGATGTTAGAGGAAAGGAAATGGAATGTAAAATTAGGGAAATTTTGCTAAAACAATACAAGGCATGAATTAGATAATTATCAAGAAACTAATAGCAGAATATTTGGAAAAATCATAATCAAGTAGAGTCAGCTTGGCTTCACGAAGCAAGAATGAGGATAGAGTTAGCTAAGGTGGTCTGGACAGATCAATTAGCAGCAAAGAATGTAAACACTAAAGAATGGAATTTGTGACTGACAGCAAAAATAGATCCCAGCCTGGAGGAAAGATTGAGAGGTATAAACCAACCGTCACTAACCAAAGAAGTAAAAGAGAGTTTGAAGTTTAAAGAAAAAAGCATACAAGGACACAAACGTCAGTGAGGTCAGTATTTAATCCTATCTCATCAGACAACACCAGTTCTAGTATAGCCATAACATGCTGATCTACTGTCATGGACATTTTCCTCTGCTGAAACAATTTTGGGTATACCTGCAACATATTTCTATTCACCCACATTACATACATTATGGGAACCCTTTAGTGCAGTCTCGGGTCTTTCGAAGCTTTGAGACAACTTTTGTCAAATTGTCATGTTTCCATTTTGAAAGCAATGAACTGCTGTAAAATGGAAGAAAGCTTATTACAGTATCACTTTCTCCTGATTTTGTTTGTTGCATATTCACTTCTCTGATAATCTGAGACTGAGAGGACAGTATGTGCCACGTTATCACAGAATTCTAATGTACTAGTTGTTGAAACACTAAATGAAAGGAATCCTAATCTCTATGCATTTCCATGTGTACTTGTTTTGTGCATTGCTGAGACATGTTAGCCATTTATTTTTAAAGAGATCTGTAATGAAAGAGCTTCTACGGTGAAAAGACTTCCATGAAATTAAATAATGTCTATTTTGTGCTTTGCCTTTCGTATTGTTAAAACGCTAGAATTTGCTGTGGACATATCGATTGCTTTCATTTTCTGTTGCCATGGAAAACCTCAGACTTCATGATGCGCCGGCATAGACAGCAGTTTCCTTCAACTTTCAAGCTTCTTGTGAGATATAGATATACGCATGAATCTGTCATTCACTCCTTAGAAGAGCATGCTGACTGCCCTTGAATGATCTGCCGTCCAGGAATTTAGAACAGTTAGTTATCTGTGAATTATTCATGTAAAATTTGGCATTGCTCACACTGATTTAGATCAATCTCTGCTTATATTTACATTTTGCCAAAATCCAGCACTCAAATCCAACACATTTTGCTTTTTTTTTTGTTTTGCAGAGGTTTTCTTTGAACTGTACATGGCAAGAAAATTGTTCAGGAAGAAAGGTCAACTCAGTGCAGGTGGAAGGAAACAGTGATTTCTTCATAAATCATCTTGGAGTGCCAACTGTTCAATTTGCATATCAGGACACAAAACCGTCAGTGGTAATTACTCTGTCTTTTGTAGTTTGACTTGTGCTGCTTGGCTTGTTGGATCCCACAGGAAGTCAGTTTGTCATTTCACAATTTTACTAAATATACTAAAGAAATCAATTTATTGTACAAACTGTACAATTGGAAAGAAAGCATAATTTATTATCTTCTTCCATAATGAATATATCCATTTAGTGAACAAGCTGCAGTGAAGTGGTGAGCTGAATTCTTGTGTTTTAATAAGTGCAATGGGCTAGCTGTAAATTAAGGAAGACCTCATGATTAGAATGTACACTTACAGTTTGAATTGAGCTCATTAGCAGACGCCAATATATGGCATTGTATCTAGTTTGCTTTTGAATCTGTAAGCCTTTCCTACCTTCTTTGAATGACTGTTCATCATCCTGGATCACCTACTCTCAGACTCAGTGTAAATTATGGCATTGAGGTTTATTTGTGGTGATGTTTTGTGTATTGTGTACAGAAGTATTAGAAAACAATTCGCAGAAAGCATGTGAAACTAATGGTACACTTCTGGTTCTCATATACCAAACTGCATGCACAAATACAGCAATAGACTCCATGTACTCCAGTTGTACTGTTGATATTGGTGGTCTGAATGTGGCATTTTTTGTTGGGGAACAGAGGGTATAGATCTACTCATATAGCTCGTAAGTCCCACTCATATACTAAACACATGTTGACTGACAGACGATCTATTCATGTAAAATGAAAAATACAAAACTGGGGCTGGCTGTTTATATAAACAATAGGCTGAAATTTGTTTTGGTCAGTAGCTCAAATGACAATGTCAAATTAAAGCCTGTGTTTGGACCCTGCTTTGCATTTCACCCAACTTTCTTTTCCAAAAGTGAACATCAGGCAGAGTGTAACACCAGCTTTGAATTTGCTAATTCTTGGTTGGTGCTACAAATTTCAATTCCCTTGTAATCTAAAAAATGATCAATTGTGTAGCTGTGTTAAGCTTCTTTCAAAAATGAAAAATTCTGAACAAACATGATTTATTCTTTATTATTCCTCTCCCAATGCTCTGTTTGTTGCCAGAAAATAATCAGATGTTCAATCTGCAGTGATTTATAAACCAAATTCACTCATTTACTGTTCAACACTACTGTTAATTAATGTGATTCCAATGTTGTAGTGCATTGTGAACAGTCTAGCTGGCTCTGCCACATTGCATCCAGTCATACTACAGTTGATACATTGCATGGAACACCATCTTTTCTGGTACTTTCACTTCTGGCATTACAAGTTCCATTCTGAGAAATCTACATTGAAATGACTGGCTGTGATGGAGCACCAACATCAAGTGTGCAGTGTGACTCTGTCTTTGAATAAAAAGTCAGTTCTTAAATCAATTTTGATATCTCAGGGAAGCCCATATCATGCCAGACTTAATTAAATTTGAATAAAACATTAACTGTTCCAAGTCTATACTCCTCCAGAATAGGAGAGTAATATATTAGAATAATCTCTGCAATTTTAATAAGTTCAGCTTTATTTGCTGCGCATTAGTTTCATCAAATTCCAGATGATATTTAATGCCAGTATATCAACAGTGACAACTTGTATTTATATTGTAACTTTGTTGTAAAACATTCCTAAATACTTCACAGGTGTTATTATCAAACAAAATTTGACATTAATCCTTACTGAGATATTAGGATCAGTTATCAAAGAGGTAGGTTTTAAGTTTCTAAGAAGAAAAGAAAGGATTGAGACAGATTGATGCATGGAGAAATTCCAATTTTTAGCCACTAATAGTCTCCATTAACAGTTATTCATCCTCCTGGACAGATCATTATCCACTCCTTTGACTGTCCAACTGTTCTTCTCTTTCTTTGGGCTCTAACCCCACATGTCATTTACTCCTTACCTCCTCCCTCCACCCTAACTTCTGCATTAAAACCGATATTTTGCTAGCTACCATCAGTTCCGAGGAAGGGTCACTGGACCCAAAACGTTAATTCTGATTTCTCTTCACAGGTGCTGCCATTTCTGTCTACCATTTCCAGCAACTTCTGTTTTTGTTTCTGATTTACAGCATCCTCAGTTCTTTCGCTTTTTAGAAAATTCCTGTACTTGGTTTCTGGGATGCTGAAGTCCCAGTCATCAAGGGCAGTAAAATTGCAGCTACCCAAGAGGCTAGAATTTGAAAAGTGTCAATATTATACAGGATGGTGGGGCTGGAAGAGAGCAGTAGAGGAAGGCAGGAATGCGGGCATGGTAAGAATTTAGAAAAGAGAATAAGAACTTGAAAATAGATGCATAGGCAGATCAGAAGTTGGTGAGCACAGGCATATTGAATGAAGGCAACATACCTTTGGGGCATTAGAATTTTGATGACCTCCTGTTTATTGAAGGTACAATGTGGGATACTGTCCAGGAGAGCATCAGAATGGCTAAGTCTAGAACTAACAAAGGCCTGCATGAGGTTTTAATAGTGGATGAAGCAAGGTGAAGATTAGTGATGTATCAAGAAAGAAATTAGTGATCTTGCTAATGGATGGAATACAGGGTCAACAGCTCATCTGGTTTTCACAGAATGGTTGAGTTTCTGGTTTCAGCTCCAAGGAATGTTTTTCTTTGTTTTGAAATAATTCATATGAACTATCAAGTGTAGATGTAAAAATGAAATGTTACCTAGCCAGCAATTAGAAGGTGGATACTAACTGAGCACCATTACTTTTTACAATCATTAGATAATCATTCAAGCACACAGCAAAGTCTGATAGCAAATTCAGAGAAGCCAATATTTGCAACTGCAGTTAAAGAAGATAATTTAACAGGATACAGTCTAGCATGTTACTTGCACAACAAAGCCATTAATAACATTGGTTAGTTCAATTGGAACATTTCTCAAATACACAGACTTTTTATAGAGATTTTGATTTCCATTTTACAATGGCTAAATCTAATTTGAAGGTACTGGTAATTTCATTAGGAGTATTTTTGTTCACTGTCCTTTTTGGACTAATTATAGAAAGATGACAATACAGAAGGAGGCTACCTAGCCTCTTGTCTACACTGGGTCTCTGTAAAAGAAACTTGACTAGCCTTATGGCCTTATTCTTTTCCCATAGCACTGCCTTTTCTTTCTTCATTTATCCAATTTCCTTTTGAAAAAAATACATTTGATTCTGTTACCACAACCCTCTGGGGAATTTAATTCCAAACCCTTACCACTTTTTGCATAATATTTGCTTTCACAGTATACCTTTGGTTCTTTTGCTACTCATCTGTGTCTGCTGGTTCTCAATTTCCCTGTCAAAGGGAAAATTCACTCTTTATCTACTCTGCCTAAAACCTTCATGATTTTGAAGAACGTTATCAAATCTCCTTTCAGCCCCCACTAAGGAGAGCAGTCCCAGCTTCTTCAATCAGTTGTCTAATTAAAATCCATCGTTCCTGGGAACTATTTTCACAAATCTTTTCTGAATCATTTCTACAGCTTTCACACCTTTCCTAAAGTACATTATGAACTGAACATAAAACTCCAGTTTGGGCTGAACCATTGTCTTGTAAGGTTTTGTCATAACTTCCTTGTGCTGAGTCCCTGGATTTATAAATCACTGATCCTCTGTGCCTTTTTTAATCACATTCTTAGCCTGCCCCATCACCTTCAGTAATTTTGGCACATGTATACCAACTCTCTGTCCCCATCAGAATTGTGCTGTTCAATTTATACCGCCATACATTATTCTTTCTTCCAAAATATACCATTTGACATTTCTCAGCATATTATTTGCCATGTCTCCCCATTCTTTCAGCCTGAGTATGTCTTCTCAAAGTTTATCACAGCATTTCTAGATATGTGGCATAACTTTGACCCAGCTGAATCCATGCAGTGTGAGACAGTCAGGGAAAGCAAAGCAAAGCCCCCTTTTTACAGTTCTAATGGTGCAGGGTGGGGGGTTAATCAGTTTGGTTCAGATTAAGTCCATAACGGGGTTCAGTCTGGCAGAGGATTGGGCAGAGAGTTGGTTCAAAGGGAGTTTGGGCGGTGTTGAGTTTGATTGTCGTCTGATTGGGAAAGGGACGTCTTGTTCAGCTTCAGGGAGAATCGGATGGGCCCTGGATTGGAGGCTGGCTGCTCACAGTGGCAGGGTGCTGGGAGTTGGGGTTTGTGGATCAATATGAATGATTGCATTGTTAGTTTTATAGTTTACAAGGAGTTAGAGTCAGCTTTACTATCTTTAACCTGACCTGGTTGACTATTAAAGCAATTAAGTCAGAATTCTCCAAAGTCTCTGATTCTAACTCAGAGGTAGGGACTTTATAAGGAGAGTTTTAGATGCCAGGTAATGGCTAAGAAGGGCTTTCAGCTTCCAGGACAACTTGTGCAAAGCTGAGTCAGGCCTCCCACATGCATTGCTAGCCTACGCTTCAGTAATGACGATTGGAAGATCTGAGCCAAAGTGAGGTGAGGTGAACTGAGAGTGACAGTGACTGCTATGGACATGAATTTGACCGAGTGAGGTGTGAAGGACTCCTGGCAAAACTGGAATCAATGGGAATCATGGGGAATCTCTCCACTTGTTGGAATTATTCATAGCAGAAAGGAAGATTGTTATGGTTATTGGAGGTCATTTATCTCAGTTCCAGGACATACCTGCAGGAATTCCTCAGGGTATTGTCCTCAGCTCAACCATCATCAACTGCTTCATCGATGACCATCTTCCATCATAAGGTCAGATTTGGGGATGTTCACTGATGATTGCCTAATGTTCAGCACCATTCATAACTCCTAAGATACTGAAGCAGTCCATGTTGAAATGTAGCAAGACTTGTACAATACAATAACCAGTTTTGAGTTGACAAGTGCCAAGTAACATTTCCACCACACAAGTGCCAAGCAATGATCATCTCCCACATGAGAGGATCTAAGTATCACCCCTTCACATTCAATAGCATGTTATCAACATTTTGAGGGTTGACATTGATCAGGAATTGAATTAGACTTGCAATATCAGTACTGTAGCTACAAAAGC